GAAAGCCTGGTCCCTGGGCGCCCCAAATGGGAATGGTCTTCTAAATAGAAATCAGTTTAAATGTGGCAAACTATTTTCAAAGCTATGGGTTACAGCAGGATTTAGACACTTAGGTTCATGGTGGTCCCAGCAATCTTCTCACTGATACAATCTTGCCGCAAGGTAAACTGGAGGAGGGGACAGAGTAGGTTCATTATTAATATGAAAGCAGTCCCTATAACAATGGAAATATCCACAACTATACTCAGACAGTCATCTTTTAAAATATTTAAACAAATCCCTGTAGAACAGGTGCTTAAAGTCAGATAACACAAGTCGCTGTTCAAAATAGTCATTTTGAAAAGATTTGTGACATTTCGATTTTTAAAAAAATTAAATGGCTTAGGCTAAATGTTTTCTTCCACATATTTAAGTCCTTAAGCTTTATTCCTGGGAAACTGGAGCACGTTTTCAACAGCGTCCTGGCCATGAGGCTGAGGACGGATTTGCTACAGTTTTAACGTGTTGTGGGTTTGGCCGCAGGAAAGCACCAATAGGTGTGTGCAGGAGTGGACCCAGGTTTGGAGGGGCCTGAGTCATGCAATCTGGAGCCCTTTTTAAGAAAAAAGAGGGACTTCCCTGGTGGCGCAGTTAAGAATCTGCCTGCCAACGCAGGGGACACGGGTTCAATCCCTGGTCCGGGAAGATCCCACATGCCACGGAGCAACTAAGCCCGTGCACCACAACTACTGAGCCTGCACTCTAGAGCCCGCAAGCCACAACTACTGAGCCCGTCTGCCACAACTACTGAAGCCCACGCACCTAGAGCCCATGCTCCACAACAAGAGAAGCCACCGCAATGAGAAGCCCGTGCACCACAATGAAGAGTAGCCCCCGCTCGCTGCAACTAGAGAAAGCCTGCGCTCAGCAACGAAGACCCTACACAGCCAAAAATAAATAAGTAAATTTATATAAAAGAAAAAAAGAAAAGAAAATAATATGCAAGACAAAACAACAAGCAAGGCCTTAGAAAGCAAGCAAACAAAAGGCCCTGGACTTAAGCTCATAGCTTCAGAGTAAACCCACCTCCAGGTGCTACCTAGCAAGGGCTCACTCACTGCCCAATGTGCATAGAAGCCAAGACCATGGCACCGGCTTTTGAAGAAAGAAAGAGCTTTATTGCAAGGTTGACTCTCAAGGAGACAGGAGGCAGGACTCAAATCTGTCTCCTCCATCCAGGTTTCAGGCGAACTTTAAGGGGCTCAGGGAATTTCAAACTTGGAAGCTGTTTAGCCAGTCTTGAGTCAGTCCATACAAGCTACTCGTGCTGCTGGAAGCCAGGTTTTCCTTATTGAAAGACTTCTGACTTCCCAAAGGGCTCCAGTGGCAACACTTTGAGTTCCACAAACTTCTCTGAGTTCCATAAAGTGAAAAATTCCCGGTTCCGGGTTCATCCTGAAGACATGGGGTCCCGTCTTGCACATGCGCAGTGCTGTCTCCGTAAATAACTTGTTTGATTAATCAACAGCCTATTTAAGGAGGCAAAACCAGTGTATGCTGTGCTGTTTCACAGGTGTCTCGTTTAAGTCAGCGCGGGGATGCTTTAGTGCAAAATCTCAGAGGACCCCTCAAACCCCACATCGACCTCCCGGCGAACGTGAGCTCTAAGGAACTTCACAGAGCACTGTCGGCAGCCCTTTTGTCCCAGGGTTTTCTGCTGGGTGCCCGTGAGCTCTGCTGCAGGGCATGGCTGGAGAGGCGTGACCAGGGAAGGGGAAAGGACACTTGACCGGAGAGACAGAGGGAAAAAGAGATAAAGAGAGTGGGGAGCCCGCCTCTCCCCCGTATGCTTGTGCCGCCTGACCTTGGGAATCTCCTCCAGCTCTGACCTCTAATCTATTGAGTTGGTCAAAAAGTTCATTCGGGGTTTTCCGTAAGATGGTACAGAAAAACCCGAATGAACTTTTTGGCCAGCCCCAGTATTTTCCCGTGAGTCTGGAGCCAGCCAGTCAGAATTGCTTGGGCTGATCCCTAAAATAGAATTTGCCAATCAGTTTTCAATTTAAGAAAAAAAGGCTTTCTTCTGGTCAACAGAGACCAGCAAATCTAGTTTGCAGTTTCATCTTTCCCCAGAGCTGGGCGTGTTGTGTGGACCGAGGTATTAGGATGAGTGAGGGCTCCAGAAAGAAGAGTTGAGAACAAGATTCCATCATCCAGGAAGGGGCCAGGCTTGAGAGCAGGAGCTCTCTGGCTGGGGCAGCATCTCAGCCCTGGGGTCACGGGCAGGGGGCGGCGGCTCAGAGGCTGCACTGAGCTACAGAAAATGGAGGCAACGCCAGAGCAATAAATGGTGATTTTCATAAAATGTTCTTTGCAAAGCACAGTATATCCAGAGCCCTGGGAGACTTTCCAGAAGATGCATGTTTAATCAGGAAGGTTGCTCTTCTCCGCCTCTGCTCTGTCAAGACTGAGCCGATGTGCTGAACGGAACTGACAGCATTGGAGAGCGTGAGTGGACCCGAGCTGTCTGCAGCTCCGACAGCTGTGCTGTCCCACAGCAGCAAGGGTCCCTGGTCCCTGCCCCGAGCAGAAACTCCCTGCAAGAGCAGAGAAGGCTACGCAGTTGCCCACTGGATAAGTACTGGTGTGGCAAAAGATTCGGGTGATGACTGGGAAAATGCAGACACTAAATGACTGTCAATGCCTAACAATCAGCCCCTTTCAAGCACTTTTTAATGGCATTTTTGTCTCATCCGAGTAGCCCTCCACCCACCCCCCAGCCCTTTCCCACCCTTCTCCTAGCTTCTTAGCGTCCTGAAGTTCCCTTGGCTGGAATGAAGCCATCAGAGAAAAGCCAGGATTTGCTTTCCCTTTTTAAAGCTCCGTCATGAGCTTTACTCTTGTCTGAAACCAACGTCTTTGAACTTCTAAAACCCGCAAATTCCTTAGAGACGGTGTCTCTTCCACCTCCTCTTGGAGGATTGGGGGCCGGCTGGGGGATGGCCCACCACTCATGATTTTAGAAAGAAACCCACGTGGCTAGGAAGGACACACACACTGAAGCAGAAGAAGTAAAAGAAGTGTGACTTCGGGAAAACTCTCTTTTCCCCTGAAGGCTGCGTTGCATCGTTTGGTTTGCTTCTGTGCCTGGAGGCCGGTGAGTGATGGAAGTTCTAGGTGTGCGTCTGGGCAGGAAGATGGCAAGGTCCCTCCATCACAAAGCTATGAGTATGTGGTTCAATGGTAGCTCTAGAGTTCAGAAAAAAGAGAGTGGGGATAATGGACAAGTCACATTTCTTAAGCACCTACTAGCTGTCGAATGTGCGGTGGTGAAAAGGGGTTTGCAGTCAGACGATCCCAGTCCCAAACCCCAGATCCATCCCCTACTTTTATCTGTAAGGTCTTGAGCAAGGCACCCACCCATATGAGATGCATCTGTAAAGAAGGGAAACGTGTTTGTTCTAAGAACTTCTTCAGAAACGGTGGAGCGCCTCGCTTATTGCTCAGACGTAGTCAGGATAAGCTCCCCTAATAGCCACACCTGCTCCTGAAACTCGGTAACAAGTCACCGCACAGACTCAAGTTCAAGATCTCCGAGTTATTCGGAAACTTGCCCACAGCTCAAGGGAAGGGTTTCAACGGTATCAGAGACCCAAATTCCCCCAGCTAGAAAAATGTGTTTCCACTATTTCCTTTGCCCAGCAGGTAAAGTTAAACAAAGGACACGAGATTAAGATTTAAGAACACTTCGAAGAAAATGAAATATTTTGTAAAATGTTGACATTCTCTTTCACAGATTAAAAAAAAAAAACAGCTCAATTAATGGTTCTCGAAGCTGTTGAAAACTTAGCAGCGAGGAATTCTAAGGCTTTTACCAATAGTCTGATCAGGCCCTCAGGGGCTTCTGTTGACCGTGTCTTTTTCTTTTTGCGTGTGTGTGTGGCACAATACATATAAAATGTACCACTTTAACCATTTTTAAGTGTACAGTTCAATGGCGTTAAGCACATTCACATTGTTATCCAACCCTCACTACTATTCATCTCCAGAACTCTTTTCTTCTTGCAAAGTGAAACTCCATACATTAAAGAGTAACTCCCCAACCCCTCCCCCTAGACCCTGGCAGCCACCATTCTACTTTCTGTCTTTGAGTTTGACTCCTCTAGGTAACGCATATAAGTGGAATCATGTAGTATTTTTCCTTTGTATCTGGCTTATTTCACTGAGCATGATGTCTTCGAGGTTCATCCATGCCACAGCATGTGTCAGAATATCCTTCCTTTTTTTTTGCGTTACGCGGGCCTCTCACTGCCGCGGCCTCTCCCGTTGCGGAGCACAGGCTCCTGACGCGCAAGCTCAGCGTCCATGGCTCACGGGCCCAGCTGCTCCGCGGCATGTGGGATCTTCCCGGACCGGGGCACGAACCCGCCTCCCCTGCATCGGCAGGCGGACTCTCAAACACTGCGCCACCAGGGAAGCCCAATATCCTTCCTTTTTACAGCTGAGTAATACTCCATGTCTGTACAGACCACATCTTGTTTATCCGTCCATCTCTCGATGGACGTTTGCTTCCACCTTTTGGCTATTGCGAATAATGCTGCTGGGAAATGGGTGGACAGGCCCCTGTATTTTTAAAACAATGTGGTAAAAGTGGTTTTCAGCATAGAAGTAGCACTGGCCTCAGGCCACTGCAGGTGGTAAGGCCCGTGCCTCTGTCCACGGGAGTGTTTTTAAATTAGGTCCTGTCTGCGAACAGGGGCCGGGGCGTCAAGCCTGCGGCTGCGTGGTACTCCCAGGACACCTGTGGGTGACTATTAGTTTGAGCAGCTGTTCAGGAGCCAGGTGTCTCCAAATGGAACTGGGCTACTGTGCACCCTCTCTGCCCTCCCTGACCCAGGTGTCACTAACGGGTTTCTCTCTCTCTTGTACCCCCCCCCCCCCCGCCCCCTGTGCCCCCTTCCCTCCCCACCCCTTGCCAACTCCTCTCGCCTCCTCTTTGCTGGCTCCCTCCCGCTCTCCAGTGCGACCAAGACCAGTGCATTCAGAGCACCAAATTCGTTTTGCAGGCCGCGGCCACGCCCCTGCTGCAGAGCGAGCCCAGCCTAGCCAGCGATGAGCTGCACCTGCCCGGGAAGCCGGGCCTGGGCACGCCCTGCGCCAGCCTGACGCTGGGGCAGCCCACGCCGCCCTCCTCCATGCCCAACCTCGCCGCCGAGGCCGCGCTCACAGACATACTGCCCCTGAAAGAGGAGCACGTGGGCCACCAGTTCCTGACCCCGGAGGAAGCGCCCTCGCCGCCCGGGATGTTGGCGGGCAGCCCGCTGGCGCACAGCCGCACCATGCACGTCCTGGGCCTCGCCAGCCAGGACTCTCTGCACGAGGATTCGGTGCGCGGCCTGGTGAAGCTCAGCTCCGTGTGACCGCGGGGCCCCGGCCCGGGGGCTGCAGACAGCAGGAGCGACGGACGGACGGCCCCACCGCGACTTCCGGCGACCCAGTGCCGGGGTGGCCACGACGACTCCAGGTCCTGAGGCAGGAAGAGCCCTGGGAGAAAAATCGGATCCCCCTCTGATGGCAGAGGAGGGCAGGACCCAAAGGCTGGCAGCTTGGTTCCATTTGAATTTTCTGCCCCACCCTGACCATTCTGATAACGGTGGAAACAGAGACGTAGCTGTTTTCAGGTCTTTGGAATATGGAGGGTGGGCGTGGGGAGGGAGGAGCCTCCGGGGGCCCCCAGTCGGAGTCTGGGCGGAGAGGAGGCTGCCTGGGCGTTCCTCTTGCTGTTCTGGGACAGATACACGGAAGGTTTATGACACTTGTGGCCGGACTGAAATTGCACTTAAGTGTTATGCTACTAATATTTGAAACAGACATGCCATTCCATTTGTTAATTTAAGAAAAACCTAAAGGGAAACAATGACCAGATGTGGACTTGCATGCCACGCTGCAGTCTGTTCACGGTGGTGATGGTATTGAAAGGCAACTGCTGCTTTCTTTCTTCTTCCTTTTTTTTCTTTAATTTTGTGAATTCTCAAGTGCTGTTTTATGGGAAGACAGTGCAACAAACCAAGACTAATGGACCATGCCATCCGTCGCCAGCTTCTTCAGCTTAATTCTACATGGGTAGGTGGCGCGCCTGGGCTGCGGAGGGCTGCCGGGGTTTTATCCCATCAAGCATCAGTTAACCTTCTGTTTAGTAGTTAGCCGAGGTGTTGTGTTGTACCACACCTGCCACAGTCTTCACCTCCTTGTGTGACCAAACTCCTGTGGACAGCCAATAAAAGGACGTCCTCTGTTATTTTGGATCTGTGTACAGTTATCCTTAACAGCTGAAATGACAACATCGTCACCCAGATGGCCTGAGGGGAGTTCAGTTTTATTGAAGTATCCCTAGTGAGGAATGGTCCCCAAACAGTCAAAACGTCAAATCTTTGAATTGTGGGGGAACGATGGGATGATTTCTTAGGTAAAAGAGCAACTTTCCATCAGTTTTTTTTTTTTTTTCTTTTCTTTAGTTATCTCTTTTCGACACGGTGTTAGTGGAATTTACTCCCCGTTTACAGATTGGCCCATGGCAGCGAATCTACGGCGGGTTGTAGGGAGAGGGCTCAGGGAGAAGCTGGGCTCTGGAACGTCTGCTCTGCTCTGCGTTGTGTTTGAGTGTTGCCAAAGCTCAAGGGTAACTTGAGGTCCCGGTAAAGGTATCAGAAAAGAGGAGGAGAAACCAGCTTATTTTAGGCAGAGACCACGTAGATTGTCATTCTTACCTAGCCACTAACCAGGATGGAATTAAGAAAATTTCCGCTTCATCCATGTTCATGTATCATCTAGAAGGGAACTCACTGGCTCTGTACTTAGGGAGTAAGTCACTTTGGAGGCAACTGCTGGAACTCAGCTGGCTTCGGTCCTTCTTTCCAGATGATAAACCCAACAGCCAAACCGACTTATGTTTGAAATCATGCTCTGTTCCTCACAGCCATATGAAAGGCAGGATACACTGATCAGTGATACCAGAAGCCCTGGATGATTTGCATTTAAGAAAAAAGGCTGTTTCTCGTGGGAAAGAGTTGCCATTTTATATAAAAGAAATAGAAAAGCACAATTTCAAGTCTATTTGGAATAAGGCCAGTTCTTCATAGGTAGAAAAATAATTTGTGCTGGAAATAACTGCGGAAGTCTTGCAACATGGTATCTTTGAATCATCCTTATGATTCATTCTGTATATGTGAGTAGAAAATTGGAAAGGTAAGTTATGTGCAGCCATTTTTGATTTTCTGGACCTCCTAAGTACTTACCCACTTGGAACTTATACTAAAGGGGACAGAGCTCCTTACACGACCACACACATGCAGGCTCACGGTCATCAACACGTAGGGATTCTCCTTGCAGGCAGTGCCTGTGAGCAAAAAGTGACAGCCCCACAGTGTGCCTTCCACAACTTCCCAAATTCTCTCTGCACTTTGCCTCCTTGCATCTGCTCCCCAGGGACCCAAGGAGAGAAATGGGCCTGGTGAGAAGAGAAAGGTGGCTCAGTTCTCACTGCTACCTATGTGGCCACATTCATTCCCGGCTTCTTCACCTGGAGGACAAAGACAGTGGCCTTTCCATCTCTAACACTCTCTAATTCAATGATGGCAACCTCCCATGACCAGCCCTTTTCCCACCTCATTTGTGGAAAAAATCCAAGAAGCAAAGCTCCTCACTCATTTGTCTTTACATAATGAATATTTGCTTAATATTTATTGTCAATCCTCCATCCCATCTTCAACTCCATCCCCTGTACACACTTGATGTCATTTATCAAAGAGGGGATTAGGGATATTGGTGACACCAATCAAAGCTATTCAGGGTCCCAGAGGAAGATTAATTTGAAGGGGCCAATTTGCTAAGACAATTAACCTCTTAAAACCCCAAACCAGAGGGATACCCATAGCCCTTTCCTCTGTGGCTTGAAAAAGAATAGAGAGTCTACAGGTTGAACAGTCGTGCTCCCAGGATCTTCCTTCTTCCCAAAGGATGGAGTGTTGATCTTAGGAGACTGACTTGCCCAGCGATGGGTCTGCATTTCCCATTAACTGCTTATATATAAATATATTTAATATTGAGTGGTTCCATCTAGTTGTGGCTGAATAAACCTTGACCTTCCTAAACCCTGTCAGTGTGTTACGGATTGATTGCATGCTAGCTATAAGAAAAAACTGGGTACTTTACCATGCTATTAAAGCTTGGACCGTTATCAAACACACTCATTGTGTTTTTTAAAAATTCATCTGCTTCCGACCTCCTGGGAGTGCTTGGGTACTTCAGGCTTCCCAGGCCCTTGAAGGCTGAATTTAGCCTGAATGCCCTGGTCCCTAGAAAGGCTGTGGGATGGAGCATCAGGGCAGCCGGGAGCCTGCATCTGAAAGGGCGTGATGACATGTCACTCTGTGCTTCGGGACACTCGGCCCAGCATTTGTGCTGTGCTCACTCGAAAAATGCTCATTCCAGCTTTCAGATTTAATTATTTCAGCCCGTGAGAACGATGGGACATTTTCACACTGTGCCAACAAAACGCCCAATACCTGTTCTGGTCCCGGATCTTTTCGGAGCACTGCCCGGCCCCTCTAAGTGCACTGTGATCTTCCCCTGTGGTGTTCAGGATGTCGACCAGGGTTCAAAACGAGAAGCAAACCCCATATTATGAGCCGTGTTCCTACTGAGAGCTGAAAGGGTCAGGCCCTTCCTGTGGCTTTGAAAGCACTTAGCGCTTCATGCCCTGGGCCTGGGTCTTCTGATTCAACAGCAGGAGAAATGGGTTTGCCAAAATTGGCAGTGGTGTCCTCGGCGCTGGGGCTTGTGGTGGTATCTGCAGGGAAATACTGGAACCCGAGCTGTGTGGGGTCCCTGGCGCAGCCCTTTGGTGGGTGCAGAGGTGGTGACGGGCTCCCCTGTGGGTCTCAGAGCCTCCCAGAGCCCCACCCAAGAAACACTTCTCTGTAACTTAACTGCTCCCTTCCAGAGCTCAGCCCACAAACCATACTCTTCACCAGCAACCCCGTGCTTCTCCGCCTTGCCTTATGGTTTTTGAGTTAGCTGAAAGGCGTCAGGGGTTTGAGCGAATAGTATAAGGAATATACTAAAGTTAGTTGTCTTTTATCTATCTACACTGGTTAGCCCGTTTAGTTCTTGATCAGGTAAGAGAAGAGAGTAAAGGGAATAAATGTTAACTATAGTTTTCTAATGAATGCCTTACAAGTGTTTTGAAGCTGAGCCTAAATCAAATCGATGTTTACATTTTTTATTAAGTTCCTGTGAGTCTTGCATGTTCATGTCCAAATGAGAGAGCCTTTCAAACGAATTCTTAATTCTGCTGGTCCCCCTGCACCTGCCCTGGAGGCATGTGTATGGCGTTGTGTGTTGTTTTCCATGTTACCTCGTTAAAAAAAAAACTGCCTCTCATTTGTTCTCTTGAAATGTGTGTCTCTCTCAGTCTTATAAGAATAAGTTATCATTGGAATATCAAATAAGCTGAAGCATTGTTTTCTTGCAAAAAAAATGTCAAAGATACTAACAGTTGCGTAAATCGGTAAATCCTGTCTACTTGCCCATTGTACGTGGTCCTGATAATACAGCCAAGATGGATTTTCAAATACAAGTGGTTAGTACGTTAATCCAGCGATTAAAAATAACTGGGAGGTTGGAGACTGGATTGTTTCTGGAGCAACCGAATTTGCAGCTGCCGCACAACTAGATAAATGGCCTCAACTGGAATTATTTTATTTTTTCAATCTCGTAAACCCCAGGAGTTACATACAGAATGGATTGGAAAGTGAGCATCTTGTGCTAAGGCAAAGACTTTTCTTCCATCGATTGTTGACTTTTTAAAAGGTACTTGGTATTGCTTATGAAATATGAGTGAAAAACTCTAATTGCCCTTGATATTTTAAGATGGATTGTTAAATCAAGAGGCTGTATGGCGTATCTAAAGAGACATGTTTTCTGGGTTCTATATAAATGGAGATGGTTTTAGCCTGCAGTTTAAAAAAAAAAAAAAAAAAAGAGTTGAAGCCTTGCTAATCATTTGCCCAGGGCATTCTGGGTTAGTATTTCACAGTAGTCAAACATTTTGGCATGGAAGAAGAAAAAAAAAGCATTTTAAACTCTAGTGGATTCAAAGCCCTAAATCTAAACAATGTTGAACACAACATAACACACAACATTGCATGTTTTCAGAGATAATTATGCCTATTTAAATGCCTTTCCTGTTTTAATCAATGTTTGCAGAATTGATCTTAAACCTGAAATGAATTAAGAAAGTATTTCCTCCTTCAATAAAAACTGCTAATGGCATCAAATGTAAACCTCAGTCTTCATAGGATAAACACTGGGTATTCAACAAAGTGTATGGGAGAGGAGGATTGACTTGCACTGATGAATTTGCACTGTGTAGACACCCATCTGGATAATACATGTAATGGGGTTTTCTGATCATGGATATCCAGATTGGTTTCCTACTGCTGTGATTCTCAAATTTTTATATTTACTAATGACTTTAGAACGATGCAAACTTCAAACCCCGTAATCTACTTGTTCAATGTTCCACCTTCTAACACACACACATACACCAACTTTCAAACTCACCATATAGGAATCGTGTTTGGCTCTTAGGAACAAAACCCCCCAAATAACAGTGGCTTAGACAAAAGGATGTCTTTCCTGTCATGCAAAATAAGTCCAGAGGTAGGCAGTGCAGGGTCAGAGTAATGGCTCCACAAGATCATCAGTGTCCTGACTTATTTTTCTTTCTGTCTTGCCATTCTTAGCACTGGCTTTCAGCCTCAAGGTCACCTTGTGGTCACAGAATTTCTGCTGCAGCTCCAGCCATCAAAGCCATATTCCAGGAAGGAAAGAAGAAGAGAGGGAGCAGAACAAAATGGACACATGAGACTTCAGATAGCTCCCTTTAATGAACTTTACTAGAAACCCACTCTGATTTCCCCATGGCCAAAGTTGAGTCACATGACCACCCCCAGCTGCAAAAGAGGCTGGGAAACGTGGTTTTTCAGCTGGGCACATTGCTGCCCCAAATAATATTGGGGTTCTGTTAGTAAGGAAGAAGAGGAAATGAGTATTTGCTATATAATCACAATAGATAACCTTGCTTCCCCCTCCAGCTTGAGCTCTCTCAATGCTTCTCCACCAAAAAGAGCTCTGTCTTCATCCACTTTGCTCTCCCTTTAGAGAGAGTTCCTGCTTGACAAAGTAGGCTTGACCCCTCTCTTCCATGACCTCTAGGATCCAGCCCCTTCTCTCTTG